TACCGGCTAGAACACATACAGTGGTCCAAATACAATAAAATCAACTCAAAATAAACAAGAATAAATTACAAAAGAGGTTCTCACTTGCGGCCACTAATAAAACTCTTTTATTCAATATCCAAAAATTACATAAGACTCTTGGAACAAGAAAACATAAATTGCTAAGCATAAAATAAAATTGCTAGAAGATTTTCTCAACTAAACTTTTCATACCCCATTCCAGGTCTCCTCCTCCGATAGTGTACGGGATCAAGGTCTATCTTAGATCGTCAAAGTATGGGAAACCTTAGGCTAATCAAATCAAAGAGCAATGGTGGAACTAGAAGCAAAAACAAGAAGGCCTCAATACCTTCTATGGGGCGTGCCCTCTCTCTTAGCACTATGCATGGGTGTGCCCCCTCTCTTAGCACTATGCTTGGGTCGTGCCTTGCCCCTAGTTTTCTCTTACTAAAATTTCTAAGTGATTTTGGGAGGCTTAGAGAGAGATGAGAGATCCGTGAGAGAGGTGTGTGGCTCAAGGAAGAGAGAGAGAGCTCAAGGTGTAGAGAATATGTGACCCCAAAGAGCCTATTTATAGACTTTCTCTTAGGGTTAGGGTTTCTAGGGTTAGCCATCCTTATGGAAAATAGATCCAGACAATTAATCATAGGAGACCTGCGGGGTGAGAGATCTTAGCCTGACACTCTTTATATCAGCCATCATGATTAAAAAGAAGTGTTAGAACCTTATCACTATGCTTGGGGCATGCCCCTTATTTTTCTTACTAAAATTTCTAACTGATTTTGGGAGGCTTAGAGAGAGATGAGAGATCCAAGAGAGACTGGCATGTGGCGTCATGATAGAGAGAGAGAGAGAGCTCAAGGTGTAGAGAATATGAGGCCCCATAGAGCCTATTTATAAACTTTCTCTTAGGGTTAGGGTTTCTAGGGGTAGCCATCCTTATAGAGAATAGATCAAGACCATTGATCATAGGAGACCGGTGGGATGAGAGATCTAAGCCTTACAATCTTTAGATCAGCCATCATGATTAAAAAGAAGGTGCTAGAACTTTATCCATTAGCTTCTCTAAACTAATCCCATCACATAAATAATATATGAAAAATATAATTTTACTTTCCTTTTTGTTTCAACTTGATTGAGAGCCTTGATGGCCTCATTACGAAATAAGAAACTATATGCAAAAAGAGGGGCGTGCCTTTAATGGTGGCCAATTGGTGGGCCCCGCGCACTTCCAACATGCATATTTATGGTAGGCCCCATAGCCCATAATGGGCCCCCATTTGCTTTATGATTTATATAATATATAAAATGGTTTTTAAAATAAGGTAATTATTTTATTTCTCTCTTAATATTAAAATACTATTAATTCAATTTTAAACAATTTTATAAATTCATTTTGAGAAAATAAAATATCCAAAGAGTTCTAAAAATTCAATCTATTAGTCTAAAAATAATTTAAGATCAAGTTAATTAATTATAAATTAATTTGATGGGATTTGGATCTAACTATATTGAGGAATTATTAATTTTGCTGAAGCACTCCATCTTCCATTGAGGACAATAATCAATACTCTATTTTTCAAACTGACCCACTAGTACCCATGACCTACAGACCATTGCAGGGACTCGTGATTGGGCTACTAAATTCAGTCAATAGGTGAGGGGACACAATCCTAGTCTATAGATTGCAGGTTCCCCTTTAGGACAATCCAAGGTCACACAGACCTATGCACACATAACTCCATGGTGCATATGGGGGTTATCTCTTGCACATATACACGTATCACCTTCAATGGTGATTTACTTTCCTAATATGGCTATCATATGTACATGTTGTGTGATGGTTCAAGATGAGGCTTTCGCTCTTGCCCCTACAGGCCTACCATCACACACTAGGGTCACACAGTCCCTTGGCTCACTACCTTGAGCTACTCCAATCTCATCAAGGGATAGCCCTACTAACCCTCATCAGATGTGCTCTATGCCCAGGTATTTAGGGTTTTGTAACTCGATTGGCCTAACTCGTTATGTTTAGTCTGAGTCTCGGCAAACATCATTTACTAATCTTGGTCCCACTAGACCATACTCCCACAGAAGTTCTTTGTTCCACTATATCAAAAAATTGATTGCATGTTCTCATAAGGCCTTTAATGACCACAAATTCCCAACATTTTTATCTTCAAATTTCTACTTTATTTGAATTTGTAATTTATTTTTTAAAATTATGTAGAAATTCATTGTAGAAAGGACAAAAAGTTAGTTTTTTTTCTTATTTTAGCATGGAATATGTTTGTAAATATTTATTTTTTTTGCCATACTTTGGTCTTCCCATTTTATTCTTGATTTATCTTAAAATTTGCATGATTTTAGGACTTCTTACATTTTTCATGTTTTTCCCCTACTCTTTTTAAATTTTGTGTATTTTTTACATTTTTTGCATGGAATTTTTTATAGTATTCTTTTTATGTGTATTAAGATATTTGATGCTTTTAAGGATGCAAATGCCCACTTAAATAGATTTAGTTTAGGCACAAACAATGGTTTTTTTTCCTTTAAAAAAAAAAGATCCCTAAATGTTTTGAGTATTGAGATGCATTTTATTTTTTATTTCCATGTCTTTGAGTGCTTGATGCTTTTAAGGATGTGAATCCGTGCAAATGCATTTAGATTAGCTCTAGGAACATAATTTCTCAAAAAATTGAGATTCCCCAATTTTTGAGCATTGCTTTTTGCTTTTATTTACTGCACAGTTTTTATGAGTCCAATGACTCATGTAGAGCTGTGTCCCCTTTTCATGATCCATTTTTGAGATAGATTTTGGACTTAATTTTTTAGGTATATATAATCTCTATCATGGAGATAATTGCTATGTAAAAATAAATAAATTTTAATACTCAAAATCATAGTTTTTTGAAGAAAAATTTTGAACCGTTTTGGGAGCCCACCACTTTACATTCATCTTTAAGATGGGTGAGTGATGCCTTGGGAGATGCAAATGTAGTTATGTCCCCTGACGCATAAAGCAATCCCCAAGTAAACATGTTCAATTTGGCAGAAACAATGTCTTTTTAACAAAATACAATTTTTTTTGCATTGAAATGTTTTATGCTTTTTTCTATTTTTTTGAAATTTTTATGTGTGGTTCAGGTTTCAAGACTACTTAGTTGCCAATTGTTCATTGGTCTCTAGCTTTCAAGTTTGGAGTATGTCACAGTCAGAAGAGGCTCCTTCTTGGGAGTCTGGGGTTAGGAGGAACAGGAAGGATGATATTAGTTTCTTTAGTTTTGAAAGGTCCATGGGGAGTCAGGGGTGAAAAGAATAAGCCAGAGAACCTCCTCAGTCCACTTAACCGATGAATGCACACAGCTTGCCCATGGTCAAGTTGACCATTTCCTTTCAAAGCTTCATCAAAGCAGATGACCTTCAAGTCCAGCTTTGCTAAGACAACAAGGATGCGAGTGAAGAAGATGACTGCATAGTTCTTTTACGATGTTGCTATTCCTTTCAATGCAGCCAACAATAAGTACGCCTATGATACCTTGCTAGTTTATGCAAGACCTGAAATCAAGCCCCCGTTGCATATGATCTTAGTGGACCTTGCTTAGATGCAGAGGTGGCTGAGGTTTGGCAAGCACATGAGGCATGGATCAAGGGTGACACTCATGTCAGATGGCCATAGTAGGGAAAACATTTCTTAATTTTTTGGATTATGGCTCATGAGGGAGAATCTTCCGTGGCAATGTCAATACCTCAGGGGTTATGAAGCGGGGAGGCTCTTCTATAGGCTTCTTGACAATGTGTTGAGAGCACTTGGTGAGTAGTATATAGTTCAAGTAATATCTGACAATGTCAAGAACTGCAAAATTTGAAATAAATTTAGGAGGAATATATAAAATTAATATTGCAGCTTCTCGAAGACCGAAATACCCCTGATGTTATTATGAGTGAACAATCTCCAACTCGTACATATCTGGGACAATGAGCAAAATGACTTTTCGGTCATCCATGTCAAATCAATAAATACATATGATTTTTTACTGAGCTATAGCTAAGCAATCTGTAAACATGTGATTGAAAGAACAAGAAAATAGTGTGCCTAAGAAAACGCGTCTGTTATAAAATAAATCTGAGCTTATTGGATGCAGGGAAGTTTATTTCCACTGGTAGCCCTCACTTTATACTCGGGGTGTTTTTGATCATTTGTCATTCCTATGTCTCTACACTCTGTTCCATGTATACAGAAGCTCAACAATGAGAAGTACTCAGAATAATCTCCATCTTTGAAAGCAAGATATCAGAGGAATTGTCTTAAATTTTATTTGCTTCTCCAGGGCAATGGGCTCTCTGATGCTTTCCAATTACTGGAAATGATCTTTCGAAGACACCAAATTTAAACTTATGCATCTATTGTCTGTGTGCTGTTTCGTTTCATACCACATACTCCTTGAGCTTGTTCCTTTCCCTACAGGTTTATATATTACTTTTGCATGTATCGTGACATGTTGACGGTGACAAAATTAGAAACTTCAATGAAAAGAGAAAAAATCTGATGTTAATGCATGATCATTCATCTTTGTCTGCAATTGTTAACTTTGCAATGAGAACATGATTTGTGATATCCTTAAGTATTCTTGAGGAGTCCCTGTCTAATTGCCATAGAGAATGCTTCAAATGTTCTATTCTAGTACAGAAATGCAATGAACATGCTGATTCAAGCCTAATGCAAAATCACACCAATAAGCCACATTCTTTTCATGAACTAACTACTAAATGCTTCTACAAGTATGTGCATAATTGATGGGAAATATGATGTTCATGAACCAAAAAATACTAAAGATGAATAGTTGTGAGCATCCATTGCTATATTATTGCCATATTTTCTTTCATATATAAAGGAAATCTGCAACATGTTTCTTGGAACATGTTCAAGAGTTCATTATTTGCAGTGAACCTGCTTTCAGTTCATTCATGTTAATGCTGCACATATTTCAATCCTGCAGGTAGTGAAATATCTAATTGGGTCTTTCAATATTATCGCCTCCAGAGATAATGAAGGAAACACTGCTCTTCATCTTGCTGCCTTCCGAGGCCACTTGGCTGTCGTTGAAGAGCTTGTTTGTGCATCCCCATCTTTACCCACCCTCACAAATAATGCAAGGGAGACTTTCCTTCACATGGCTGTGGCTGGTTTTCGAGCCCCCGGATTCCATAGGTTAGACCGACAAATTGAGCTAATAGAACACTTGATCTCGGAGACAAATCTTTTCCATTTGCCTGACATCATAAATTGCAAGAATGCCGAAGGCAAGACTGTGCTCCACATGGCAGTCTCTGGAAACATCCTCACCAACCTTGTGGAACTAATAATGAGTGTACGAGGAATTGATCTCAACATCCATGACTCTAATGGAATGACCCCTTTAGATGTTCTTAATCTACATCCACGCTCTCCATCATCCGAGCTTCTCATAAGGCAGCTGATTTTGGCAGGAGGAATTGGAAATTCAAAGGATTATGCTATGAGAAGTGCTATTGTTTCTCACTTGAAGATGCAGGCTCTTGGTAGTAGAAGCCCTGGAACTTCATTTAGAATATCGGATGGAGAGATATTCTTGTACACAGGCACAGAAAACCCATCTGAATTATATGAAAGAGGCAGTGCAAGGCCAAGCTCATGCTCAAATAGCAGCCGACCTAGTGAGATAAGTCTGTTGGAAAGCAATGGGGCCACCCATGGTTCTGCCTCAACCAAGAGATCTACTCCTGTGAACTCTGCAGCAAGGAGATTGAGGATCCTTCTTGGGTGGTCTCATGGAAAAGAGAGGATAAGAGACAAAGCTAAGAAGTCTCTTAAGTTCAGAGATGATGACTCCTCACTGGATTCATTTGGGAAATGTAGTCCAGAGGAAAACATCCCTACTCCATTGAGGTTACGATTCTCAAAGCCACCGTCACTACCCAATAACAAGCGCACCCTCTCCGTTAGAAGTGCTCTACCAAGTCCAATGACAAAGAAGAAGTTTGCTTCTGGGCTAACTCATGGTGTCCTACAGGCAATGCCCCATTTGGTATTTCAGTCGTCACCGAGCTCATTGTCAAGGACTCCAATGTTATCGTCTCCACCTTCTTCAGATAAAACCCAGGGGCTCACTTCGGATTCTGAAAGAACACCATCCACTGCTCCTGCTGCTTCTAGTGCTACTACCATTACTACTACTATGTTTGCAAGTAAGGACGGAAAGGAGGATTCTGGCCGTAAATCAACTCATGGGTTGATGAACCATTACTTTTGTTTTGGAGCGCATGGGCTTTCTTATGATGATGAAAGCCAGATGGTGGGTGGTCACCGTGCTAACCGATTTTATAAGCGCTCAATCCTTTCAGAGGCTTAATGAATCGAAGTTCTAGTTTTGGAGAATGACTCGAGGAGGGGGTTGATTTTGCATCTGACAATTAGGGTATCAGTACTATGAAAGTGTGTTTAAGGTTTTTATCTGTCCTGGAACTTTGCACCGACTTCTAGCACTATCTGATTGTGTATTGAGGTAACTTATTTCTGTCCTGGAACTCGATTTCTAGAAGTAGTGATCCTACTTGTGTAAGCATCTGTAGATTTAATGTGTTCTAAACTGCTGTAGTCTTATCTGAAAAAAGAAAAGTATGGGTGTCCTAATGCACTTGTAAAATTCTTGTTCTGCTTTATTTTAATAAAAGCCTGTTTGTGTGATATCTTTGGCTTTCCTTGCCTCAAGATACCCATGTGAGTGACATTTCCGTGAACCTTCTTAGTTGTGCATAGGAAATTATGTCATTATAATGTCTTTGATTCTACATAGTATGTTAAACTCTCCATTATTAGAAGAAACTGAAATTACCTATCATAGAATACCAGGAATCTCACAGGAATCTGGATTTTTCTAAGGACCCGGTATCTATCCGGCCATGCTTGCATACGTAGAAATGCAGGCCTCTTAATAAATCTATTTTTGAGATGGATTTTAAGATTTAATTTTGAAGGACATGTAATCTCTAACATGGATATCATGAATATGAAAAAATAAATAATTTTAAAAATTAGAAATAATAATTCTAGTAAGAAAATACTTGGACCTTTAGTTTACATTGTTTTTAGATGGACCACCTACTTGCATCATCTTTAATATGGATGTTTTACACTTTCTAGACCGCATGTGTAGAAATGCGGTCCAGCCCGCATGAAGCAATTTTCTTTTTTTAAATTGTTTATTCAATTAATTTCCATTGATTAGATAGCGAAGATCACCAAGATTTTGTGATTAAGATCACCAAGATTTTGTGATCCGCTGCCAACCTAAACCAATGCCAATGTTGCCTTGGTTGGGGCAATTGCTATGGCTCATGCCAAAAGAATCACGAGGAATCAAGATAATTGATCGAAATTTAAATATAACAAGTATCAAACTTGAACATATAAAACTATTTTACAGAAAAAAAGATAAAAGACATACTTATTTCTATTTTTCATTTTCAAAATGATGCTTTTAAAACCTTATTAGTAATACTTATAATATTTTTCTTAATATCGTCAATAATTTTATGATTGTGTTACTAATGCTATTAATATTATTTTTTTGAGAGCAAACTAATACTATTAATATTTCCCTAAAATGTTCCAAGCTCAATTCGGGTGGCCGTGTTGTGTGCTCGTGCGTGCACAGGCGTGTGCCCGCATGTGTGTATGTGAACCCATGTGCAAGGATTAAAAGTAGGGTGCGGTTTGTATAGAGCCTAGGCTCTAAACAATCAAATTAGAGCGTACATTCAAATAGTATCGAGAAATGTGGTTTTAATATTGGAATTTTTTGTGATGGCCTTAAAATATATTTTTATAGTTATTTATAAAGTTTAAATCTTCAAAAATAGTGTAGATCGATATATTTATGAGAACTTGAAAATCTTGAAAATTGACGGTCTAAAAATGCGTTACAAAATACATTATTTCTAAAACTTGCAATCCATTTTTTTTTCATGGACATGCATCTTGATGTTGAGATGATCAATTTGAAAATATTTGGGAATCAAAACAATCTTTTCTAGTAAAATTTTTGAGGTAAGCTCAAATTTGATTGTTTAGAGCCTCTAACTCTATATAAACTTTTCCCTTAAAAGTATAGTAGATAAAGCAATGCACAAACGACCAACAAATTTATATAAAATAGGCACGCTATAGTTTTGGAGTTGGGGTTTGGACCGTAGTTAGCAAGTTTGATAATTATAAATATTGCATACCAATACATCGGTAACAAATTTGCTTTATTTTAAAAAGTCGGAGAAAAAATCGGGTCAAAAATACAGATCGTCAAAAAATAAGGAAAGCTATAGAATTGTGAATATTTCGGATTTGGTTAAAAAAAACGTAGTGAAAAAAATGGATATGTAAAGATGACACATTATAGGATTATAATTTGCAGTTATTGTGTAAATATATTGAAGCCATTAAACAATAATTTTATAGCTTATTGTATAAATATATTGAAGCCATTAAACAATAATTTTATAGCTTATTAGTGTCATTAGAGTAATACTTAAAACATTTTGTTGAAACTTTCAATAAATCCAGTAACAATGCTTAATCTGTTTCACATTACAAAATATATCATAGATTTATTGGGAGCACAAAATGAAACAACAGCAATACACGAACTAATTAGCAAATAACAAGAATTTGTGAACCGTATAGGATTATTTTTCAAAGAAGTGGTCCATCCAAAATTTTATGTTGTATATAGCAATAAAATATAAAATTAATCAAACTTCTCTATGCAGAAAAAACAACAACCATGCTTAAGAAAATTTGAATCTTGCAGTAAATTCCTAGCTACCTAAATCGTTAATATTATTAAATCTCTCTTTTGTTCCTTATAAGAACGCTACGGGTTAAAAGAGGAAAAAAAATAGATTTTTCATTAGGTTACTCTTCTTCTAATTCTGCCTACTATTTTAAAACATACGATTGTTTAAATTATTTTTTTTTAGGAATATATTATTTGTATTTTTTCGTACACTTTTTTTAAAAGAACTCGTTGAAGAAATTTTTTATGGAATTTTTTTTTAAATCAAGATTCTTAATTTACTCCCACGATTGTACATATATTTAAACAAAAATTCAATAATATTAAATTAATGAAAAAATAAAGTTATAGGAAAGAAGTTTTTTTGAAAAGTTTTTTTTGAAAAAAGATAAAACATAGATTTATATTAGGGGAAAGGTTTCTATTCTTCCCCTACAGCATAGAAGTTCTATCCTCTTCCTACCATCCAGCAGTCCAATTTTGATCAAGAGAGTCACTCACCGTTTGATCTTAGATCCAACGTCTCAAAGTATTTTATTTTTAGTTTTTTTTATACAAATTGTATGAATATAAAATTTGGTACGTGTCATATTCTCATTGGGGTCACCTATAAAAAATATTAAAAATAATTTTTCGATAAAATATAATGACCAAAATACCCCTTAAAAATTTCAGGGGTATTTTGGTTATTTTATTTTATTGAAAATATTGTTTTTATATTTTTCACTAGTGCAAGTTTAATAGAGGAATTGACGTCCAAACTTTGGTGTCAAAATAGTTTATAGAAAAAAAATTTAAAATAAAATAGTATAGAGACACGACATTATGATTGAGACAATCTTAACCTTTCATTCAGAATGGACGGTTGGATAAAGGGAAAGATAGAACTTCTATGCTATAGGAGAAGCATATAAACCTTGCCCTTATATCAGTTCAATTAAAAAAAAACAAAGACTTCTTTAATATCTTTTGAAAAACTCGGGGTTCTAAACTTATTTCAAATAATCAAAGATTTTTTTAAAAAAATTGTGTTGTAAGCAGAGATTTACTAACTATGGTTCAGACGAGTCCGGGATTGGAGTCCCCTTAGTCCTCCTGGTGCATATGATACGTGGGAATTCTTCCGCCACCCGATCAGCGGTCGGGTAGCGAGAATGCGAGTGCTCTGGAAATATCTTCGAGAGGTGAGCACTCGTCTCAATTTCTTCTGAAGGTGAGCCCTTGGGCCAAACACGCTAAAGTTGCTGAAGGGGGAGCCTAAGTCCGATCCGCGTGACCCAAAAACCTCAGAGCAGGTGTTAATTGTCATGAGATGAATTTAGAATTGCGTAATCAGGTTCGACTTCCCTTGAGTTTTAAACAAGGGATGCCCTATTTATGGGCCTACTATGGTCGGCTTGGCGTTGAGTCAGGGAAGTTGTGGTGTGGTTAAGTGCAGAGACTTAACCAAAGTTGGGGTAAGGATTTAAGCTTGAGGTTAGGATATGGGGTAGAGTTGGGGAAGTTGGTCATCGGGGCTAGCGGGCTTTAAAAAATTCGTGATCCGATTTGGAATTAGGCAATTCGGGTTCAGAATTCTCAAGACGCTTTAGATTAGGCTAAAAAAGGGAATTCGGGCGGCTTCAAATAGTAGAATCGTCGATTTTTTCGTGGAACCGCCGATTCCGATGATTATTTTAAAAAAAAATCGAAACAAAAATTACCTATTCTTCCGATCCGTAACGGGTATGAGTGTGACCGACTCGAGTTACCAATCCGTTTTTTTAAAGCTAGGATTGAGGAAAAAGTAGACTCAATTAAGTTTAGGGACTTAACCAAGGTTGAGGTGAGGGTAGAGTTTGAGTTATTGGTTTGATACAAGGTATAGGAGAGTGGCTTGGGTGTAGAGACCTAATTGAGGTTGGGATGGGGTTCGAGTTTGGGTTCGGGTTTGAAGATTTGAGGGGAATGGGTTAGATGAAGAGACCTAATTGGGGTTTAACTAGGATTGGGAATGTGGGTTAGGATGCCTAACTAGGATTAAGGGCAAGAGTAGGATTTTCTCTCACTAGGAGAGAAATCTTCAAGCTTTAGTCATAGAATTTCTCTTTCTAATCAAGCAAGAAAAAATCGGCCTAAAGCCGGGGTTTATATAGACACCCCCATTCAGGGGTGGATAAAAAAAAAAAAAGATATGAACAGCATCCAAAATATGATCTAGTCTATAAAAGAGCCTCTTCCCACCCACATGCTAGGGGCCTTTGTTTTGCATGTTTGGGTGCCAGAATAATTGATCTATCACCAAGAAAATTTAGATCAGACTTGCTGCAATAATTTTAAGACAAGTTTTATACGAAAACCTCAAGGGTCGACGAATTTTCAGCCATTTTTCCGATTTTGGGTTTCATGCACTTTTCTATAAGCACATTTTGATCGATTTCTCTGAGATGTTGCGGCTTCTTGTTATTTTCCAACCAAAAAAAGATGGGGAATCCGTCTCGATCATTTTGCATCAAGCATCACAGGAAAAATACCCCTGTTAGGCTAAGTTATAGTTCCGTAAAGTTACCAGAACTACAAAATTATGCATGATCTCAAAATCAACCGTTTTTTTGTAAGTTATCTCTCCATAAATATACACGGGCTGTGTATGGTTTCCCAAATCTTAATTTTCTTGTATTTTCCTACTACGAAACCTGTCTCCATAAATATACACGGGCAGTCTTTCAGACATATCTGGTGCCAAAAAGTTGTGGTTGCTTCCATTGCTTATTTAATTATGCCAAGGGGCGGTGATGCTTCCAAACTCTATGCAAACATCCGCGAAGTATAATATATAATTCAGAATATGGAAAGATTTTTAAATTTCAATTAATATTGCATAAGAACTTTGACATTCTTTTTTTTCCAATTAAATAATAAATTCTAAAATTACATTAAATACCTCTTTATATCTTATATAATTAGTAATTTACTAATACTCAAACACGCTTGTTCCCTCCACATGGTGCTTCCCAAACATCACATGTTGCAATCCCGTCCCTAATATTTAGATTTGAAAACATCGAATCTTATATATGGGCCATGAGTCCTTAGTTGTAAAACGAGCAACGATACTCCTACCAAGTATCAATGCGTATTGTAGTTCAATAAAATTATATGTCACGACCTGTTTGGATGGCCCATTTAAGTAACAACACACGATACAACATGAAAGATGATGTGTTTATGGAACACAATGCGGAAGAGTCGTATGGTTGTCGATATGAATAAGACGTATGAGTATCTATCATAGTTATAGAAAAAAGCTTATATAAGGTTGCAACCTTAAAATGTAGAATTAAAGATGGATCTCAAAAATCTATTGGGAAGGGTTGTTTTAATATTAAAACACCCTCTAATTGATCATCTCGACATCGAGATGTATGAATATCAAGAAAAAATATATATATTTTTTGAAATCCAAAAATAGCGCATTTTGCAACACATTATTTAGACCGTCCATTTTCAAGATTGTCATATGTTTATAGATCTACTTGATTTTTAACCATTTTTGAAATTTAAAATTTTGTAATTACATATTAAAATAGATTTTGAGATAATCCTAAGAATTTTAAACCAAAATTACGCATTATGATAAAATTTGGAGGTGTGCCTTAATTGGATTGTTTAGGATTGTAACATTATAGAAACCACACCCATAGTTATATATTGGTAGTTATAGTGGCTGATTTGGGCTCGAACTTGCTTTAGTCGCTCAGATCCAACGGGGTGTCGGATATGATGACTAACCTCAAAAATTGCACGACTTTGACCTGGTTCAATGATAGTTTATGTTTTTTAAGAAATCTATCTCTAAATGAATTGCACCTCCTTTCCTCTAAGGAGCATTATTAGGTTGAACTTTCTGCGAGTCAAATCGATGTTAAATAGTTTTTTTTTTTTTTTTTCGTATTGAGGGGCATGGATTTTTTTTTCGAAAACATATGTAAAGAAACTATTTATTTTTAATATATAGATGTCACAATCATTATTGTCTATCAAATTTCAAACAACGTGGCTGTAAGTGTATCTTTAACCAGACTCTAAGTCCAAAGAAGAGTTTCTCAAACTTCGTGGCACATACCAACCTGGACATAGTGATCAGAACGTCGTGGCACATACAATTGCTAGATTAGAAATAGTGATCAGAAATTTGAAATTTGTCCCCAACTTGAAAAACCAAAATGTGAGTAAATGCGAAGTCCTTGAAAAGCTTGATTGGTTTGTGGTAAAAGCTTTTTGTATTCCACTAATGAGATTGAAACTTGAGTCAAGTCAAAAGTGCGAAAAACATTCTACCACAACCCACAAGATTTTCAAATGTAAATTTAGAGGCATATATCATTTTAAAATTGAAGACCTCACCTTCGATGGAGTTTTATGCAAGAAACATTGTTAGTGTCATACACCAATTTGAATCTTGCAGGACGACTAAACTCTGATGGAGTTTCTAGCAATGTATTAGAGCCAGGAAACCGTATTTTTGCATCCAATATTTATTTTAGTGATTAAAGTTAGAAACTAGTCACATTTGGTTGGAGAGGGTCCTCTAGATAGCAAAGGAGTATCTCTTCATCAGGAAATCAACAAATCGTGAAAAAGACTCCCTTCAAATTGTTTATGCAGTTTAGATTTCACAAAATCAATCAGTTTAATGTAAACTACCATGGAAGTACCCAAATTTACCAAGAGCTCAAATGCCCTGTACATTTCAATAATAAAATATCCCTCACAAATGTCCTAACCAACCTCTTCTTTCAATTTTATTAGTCATAGCCAAATTCAGGAGATCTCGGAAAAAATCCTCTCCTATTTATGCTTTCAACAAAAAAAATTAAAAAATCGGTAGAAATATGTGGGATCTGATGAAAGAGAAGATAGATCTATGGGAACATGTTTATCCTCATACACCATCGGCAAGGCCAGCTTCAAAAAATGCAATCGTGCAAAAACCAAGGAAAAAGACTAGGAAAGATAAACCAAACTGAAATAAACTAAAATTAAAACAAAAAGAGGAGAATTCTTATTTGCATGTCTGGACCCATGGCCCTGCAGGTAGAGTTGGGGGCTTGGATCGAGCTGTTCTTACAAGCTCCCCTTCCCCTTGCTCAAAGTATTGATGATAATGAATTGAATTGAATTAAAGTTTGAAATTGCATGTTTTGGCCAAAGATTAGGGAAAAAAATGAATTTAAGGCGTCCAAGGTTTTTCTAACCTAAGGGATGAATAGAGATTGGATGAATGACTTATGGAATGATGGAATAGATTGTGAATGGAATTAGGGTTCTGAGATTATGAGATTCTAATTTTAGGGCTTTGACGCTTAGGTTATGGCTCTCTAGGTGGGAAATTAGGATTTCAAATCCTAAGGTTTGTAGGTGTTGGGCTTCTGTAGCCATTAAAAGTCTTATGAGAGCATGTAATCAATATATGATATAGTGGAACATAAACTCAGTGGGAGTGTGGTCGTTTGTGGACCATGATATGCAAATTCTATGTTTCGATACTCGGACTTAGCTTGACGAGCTAGGCCAGTCGAGTTGGAAAACTCTTAAATATCTGTGCATATAATAAAACTGAGGACAATTTATGGGTTATTTCTTATTCTTATAAACCATTGTGTTGGTTTTATTCAATAAAAGAAAGTTGTAAATGTAGGCAGTAAGTGAGCACCGATTCATTTATTTATTCTTTTCGAGTTGAATTTATTGTAATTGAATCATTGTAAGTATTTTAGTCGATAAGAAAATAAAAATAAAAAATTATATGCACCATGCTATATCACATTTGTCCAACTTTCACTAGGTTCTAAAACGCACTAGAGGGGTATTTATGTAGGCCTTTTATAACCTCTAGCTCAATGGGGTTAGGAAATTCGAGTTCAGTTGGGATTAAATCTTTATGGGGTTGAATTGAGTTTATTTGGTCCTAGAATAGAACGGAACATATCAAAACCCGAAAAAGACCTCGAAGAGAAGAAAATTCCAAAATTCAACACTGACTCTTTCGAGACTTTCGAATGCTCAAAAGGTATAGCAATACAGGCCGCATTGCTATAGAGATGTGATCCCCATCGCGGACCCACAAGCATCTCTCTTTTGCTGCAGATTTTCTTTTTCTTTTTTTTGTGAATGAACCCATTGCATCCTCAAGACTAAAAGATTTATTTCAAAAAAGGTTGAGATGGTACAAGCAACATAAGATCATGTCAACAAACAAGAAAACAAAGCTATTACTACGCCTATGAGACTCAATTGTGCTCTCTCAAGAGAAAGAATGAATGATTAGCAATGAATCCATACACAAAAGGGTGGGTGTCTTTTTTATTTCGGATCAGTGAAGAATTTGTTGATGGATGGCATGATTTCAGGAGATTTGTTACGCACAAACTTTCTGAGGCTGTGTTGGGCATATCTCTCTCCCTCTGCAAAGTTCTCTAGCACTCCCGCACTTCTCTTCTCCTTGGTAACCCTGCCGCCCATCAATGCAAACAGATCCAATATGAGTTCATGCTCCATTCTTTTCCAAGTATATAAAATATACTTTTTATTATCTTTAAAAAAATCTAAGTGGAAAGACAAGAAGATATAGAATTCGAAATGAATCCATTCAGGAGAATTTAGGTTAAGCGATAATATAAAAGAAAATAGACTTAGGTGGGCTGGTCACATGTGGCGCCTACCAAGTATTACACCTATTAGGAGGCGTGAGTTTCAAGTAAAAGGACTTGAGAGGACAAGGGCAAAGGCATGTGGATCGAAGTATAGGGACTTATGGCTTCACCAAGGGTATGGCATTTAATAGAGTAGAATGGTATAGCCGACCCCAATTAATTAGAAAAAAATTATATTAATGATAATTTTGAAAAAATCTAAGTCATTTTCTTTTGTTATCGTAAGCAATTTATGTTTTTTTTACATTTAATAAAAGATAAGTCATTTTGTATGGTTCTTTGGGACAAACTTTTATGATTTGAGCCCTTGACCTCCCTCACCAGAACGGATATGTTAATTGAGCCCAAAGGACATGTTTATCTCTCTCCTATTATTTTTCAAACTTCCAATTGACTTGAATTAGGTTAAAGCCATGGTACTCTGGCAAGAATAATATGTGGGGGTGTCATACAATTAAAATGTAATATGTGGTATAATTTGGTGATGGAACTATTTTTTACTCTTTTACTCTCTGAAGAAAGTAATATAGATAGGTGGCTCCATGAGTAATATGATAAAAAAGGTTGTCATATCAAACTTGAGATTTGCAGCCATGCAAATTACATTTTTCTCCAATTTTGGAAATAGAAGTAGTTCTTCTAGTTGTGAATTTAAGCGTTGAATGGTATTATACCTGACATCTGGGTTAGTGCGTATGTTCCTTACAAGTTGGAGGCCACATATACCAACTGCTGTCCCAACGACTGCAAAGATTGGGTACACCTGCTCAAACAAACACCAGCATTGAACTCACTTAATATATTACACCTATATATATATATATATATATATAGAGAGAGAGAGAGAGCAAATAGGTGCCATAATATTTTCTCTCTAAGCATGTCAGAACCTCTTGTCAATAGCTAATGTCGTAGTTGTACTTCATGACTTCAAGAGCTTAAAGAAAGATTTAGAAAAGAAAAGAGTTTATTTAGGTTTGACATTTTAAAATGTAGAATTAAAGTTCATTTAAAAAATCCCTTAAATAAAAGGCTATTTTAATGTTGGAAAAAAAAACAAAAAAAAAAAACCCAATTATTTATCTCAAGATTGACATGTATGGAAGTGAAGAAAAGAAAGATATCAAGTCCTAAAAATTATACACCTTGCAACACATTAATTGGACTGTGTTTTTTAAGATTTTTATGTGTTTATAGATCTGCTCGATTTGAATTAATTGGAGTTTAAAATGTTACAATTAGAGATAAAAATATATTATCACACCATCCTAATAATTTTCAACACCAAAAAAAAGAACAAAGAATGAGCTGAAGCTTTTTTATAATAATCAAACTAAGTTATGTTTATCATGTAGAGATTTATAAAGACGGCATGTTGGTCATGTCCAACCTCAACGGATTGAATCTTTTTGGATTGCCAGTTCATTTTCCCATCACTTGCAATATACTTTTGTCTTGAAGAAGACTATGGACCTGAATTCCTTCTTGTATCATTCTAATTTTGTCGGATGTCTTTGAAGACCCTGTCGACCTGAATTTCTTTAGTAGCTTTACTCTTCAAAAAATTCTTCAAAAAAACTGGGAATGGATTGAGGATCGATTTAGTTTCCTTTCTTTAAAGCAGAGCATTGAAACTTGTTTTGCAAGGACTCATACGAGCAATGTTTGAAAAATCAGTGGATCGAAATCGAACCATAATCATCTGCTTCAACCTAAAACTAGCAGAGGGAAAATCTAGTTCTAAGAAAAGCTAGAATCGCCTATTCCCCGGTTCTTATTTTTCCTTGTTAATCTTTAGTTATCATCTTACTGCAATCTAACCTAACAAACTTGTCCGACTCGATGATCAGAACCGATTCAGCAAGTGTCGGCTCAAAACCTAGTCCTAAGTTCTAAAACAATGTTCCTAGCATGAGATTTTGAAATGCACTCTGCGCAACATGAAACAACATAGTAAAAAGAAGAGAAAGAGTACCTCTGGCCTCAACCATCGGCTAAAGGTGGAAGAAGCCATTGCCAAAGGTGCACAAAGACAGAGAGACACAGAAACAAAGAGAAAGGGACAGGCCACTTACGATCGGATCTCCTCCTCTCTCTCTCTTCCCTCCGGACCTCGGCCCCCACCCTTTCATAGAGGAAAGGCCCTTTTTTGAGAGAGTGTGGGGGGCAAGTGGTTGACCACATCAAGTGGTTTGTATTAATTCTTCTCCACCCTATTCGTCCTCCCTACCTTGTGTTCCACTCCAAATTTTAGGAGTAACAATTTATAACACGAGAATGGGACTTACGGGGCTTCATGACCAGTCAAAAAGTCCAATTACTTGCCCTTAAATAGGCTAAGCAATTGGTCTTGGCGACGAGGGCCATGAACCACATGGCAACCTCAACAGTAGGACATGGGCCTTGCCAAACCAAATTAAGGACAAAGATTTGGTCACCTTGGGTGGTTTATAAAGTTTGTTGTAACCATTTATTTTGGTCGAGGGAACAACATATAAATGACTTGAGAGAAATAGGTTTTTGTGATAGAATATCGAGGGCTGCCAATCGGGGCCAGGATTGGGTTGGGCTAGCTTTGACCCTAGTCCCTATAGGGTCGGCCCATGCCTAGCTCAATCCTAACCGGGTCAAAGAGGCCTTGGCTCAAGCCCAAACCTAGCCTTCTCAAGGCCAGCTAGGCTAAATAAAGTTTCAAAGAAAAAATAAAAACATATGAGGGTTGACCAGGCCAAACTAGGCCAGCCCTACCATTGGGCCACATTTTGTGGGCCAGGCCCTAGTTTTAGGGCCAGGCTGCCAACCATAAGAATATGTTGCGCCAGATTTTTTTTCACGGTTTTTGGGATTTTCATGCTTCTATCATTTTTCCCATGCGAAAAAGGATAATCTTTTTAGCGTGTTAGTGCTAGAGTGAGCAAATGTGCTCTTCTATTCCCTTAACTCCCAGTAGCATACAATCACTTGAGCATTATTGGTACAAATCTTAAAAAACTAGATTGGGGACCTAGATTGTCCATCAAGAAAACCAATCTGGATCCGCTGGATTTGGCCTAAAAAAAATTAAAAAAAAAAAATCACTAAAATTTATTTAAAATTAAATTTTTTAGGTTTCCAATAAAAGTAGTATTGTATCATAGTTTTTCATTATTTTAACGAAAATTTTAAGAAAGATAAATAAAATTTCTTTAAAATCTTGTTTTTTTAGGTTTTCAATAAAAAATGTAGTATTGTACTATACTTTTTTTTATTATTTTAACAAAAATATATAAATACTGAGAATATGTATCATGTCCGAGTGTTTCTCATGCTTTTCCTTTTTAAAAAATGGTTACGATGAATTTCATTCACTAAAGAAGATTATAAGGGAGTATCAAAATAAGGGTGTAACCACCAACAATGATTGTTGTATACCACCCTTTGCTAATAAATCAACTTTAGCATTAGCCTTCTGAAATAACTCAAAAAGATCCACTTGTTAAAATTGAAAAAACTTCATAAAAATGCTGCCTAATCTCTACAGTAGCTTTGATTCTCTTTTTGCCCAAGCAATGGCATTATTTGAATCTCTTTCAATCACCTTATGACCACCATGATCTTTTAGTAATTTTAGGCCGTCCACTTCATTCAGTATTATATTCCCACATGGCCCCAAATAAGTATAGATATAGTTGCCCATATGATCTCTAATGGCCCCACCAAGACATGCAGGGCATGGGTTTCCATACGAGCTTCCATCAAAATTCAATTTCACACAGTTTTCAGGTGGAGGATACCAATTTACCTTTCTTTCTCGTGTACAAGTATTTATCTTAGAACTTCAAATGGATTCTCAAAGATCTGTGATTAGGGAATAAACCTGCAATTCTTATAAATTGAGAACCATTCAGCTGCCATGGCTAAGATATTTGATTTTACAATATCAGCCTCACATTGTGCATCTTGGAATGTCGAATATCAGCCTAAGATTATGCATCTTCGAATGTCCTCCTATTTCTCTCACTCTCGAAATGTTCCACAAGGTGCTATCCCTTAAAGATCTCCATAGTATAGTCCCAATCATCGATAAGCCAGGTACATCCATTGTTGAAGGATCATATTTCTTGTATGTGGAATCTTTGCAAATTCAGCAATCTCCTACACCAAGCCCATAACTCTTGAGTAAAAGGGCAGTGTAACAGAAGGTGATCCACACTTTCGTAGCCTCTTAGGCATAGTCGACAATCATTAATTATTATTATTTCCCTCTATCGGTGATTATCAACAGTAGGCAACGTTTTTTGAAATGCCACCCATAAGAATAATTGGATCTTTAACGGCAACTGCAATTTCCAAACATTAGAAAGATTTTGATCAAGGAGTCTACGGTGATCATCATGTAACAGTCTATAAACTGATTGTACTGAGAAATCACCCGAGGGTGTGAGGTCCCAGACCAAACAATCATCTTTGGCGAATGCATAGTAGAAGTTATGCAGCAAATCCATGAGCAACTGAAACTCATGAGAGGAAGTATTTGTGACTCTCATGTGACTGCAAACAATGTTCCAAGAAGAGTTAGTAGTTTCTAAATCTTTCATTGAGGCCAAAGGATTAAGAACTTTGGTGAAGACCTTAGGGAAAAATTATCAATTAACGAAATCCCCCAGCCACTTGTCGAACCAAAATAAAGTGTGGTCACCCTTACCAACAACCATATGACAATGTCGAAGTTAAATAGGTCGGCAAAGATCAATTCCTCTTCAAATAATTGAGAAGCCAACTTTTGATCTAGGACTTTTGATTAAGCCAATCAACACATTCATACCATATTTCTCTTTTAATACTTCACCTCATAACCCTTCTTGCATAGAATGGAAACACCACCACCATTTCATCAATAAACTAATATTCATCAACCTTAGTTTCTTGGTCCCCGCCCCACCATCTTTCAGGGAGGCACATACACCCTCTCCCATTTCACAAGCTTAAGTTTGTTTCTCACTTCTCACATTGCCCCACAAAAAAGTTCTCATAATATATTCAAGTTGTTTGACAGCATGCTTCGGCCTCCAAAAATTGGATATAAAATAGACAAGTAAATTGGATAATGCAGATTTAATAAGAGTAGCTCTCCCTCCAAATGACAAAAGTTCTAATTTTCAAAGATCTAGCTCCCTATTAAATCTTTCAGCAATAGGTTCCCATATAGCTCTCTACTGATTTCCTCCAATTAAAGTGATGCCCAAGTATTTACAACGTAAAATGCTTATCCCACATCCAAGAATTTTAGCCAAAGCAGCTACCCTAGCCTCAGGACACCAAATCCCTATCAAATTTGTCTTTTCCAAGTTCACCTTTAGACCAGTGGCTAACTCCATACATTTTAGATAAACCAATAAGTTTTTTACTTCATGTTCCTCTGCGTTACAAAAGAAGATAGTATCATTTTCATATTGTAAATGAAAGACAACCAAGCTTCCAACTTTAATACCAGAGATGAGGCCTTTATTTACCACTGAATTCAACATAATTCTAAAGCTTTTAGTTATTATAGTGTACAAGTATGGAGAAAGTAGGTCCCCCTGTCGAATATCTCTTGAGGCTTTAAAATATTTACAAGATTTTCCATTAAAAAGGATAGGGAAGTGTGTTGAATTCAAACAACCATGTATCCCACAACGACCATCTAGATCTAAAGCCCATCTTCCCCAAAATTCCATGTAAAATTTGAAAATCCATTTTATCATAAGCTTTTCCAAAGTCCATTTTGCAAAGAAGCCTTGGAGTTTGGTCTGTCAACCCAGTGTGTATGCATTCCTACGCTACTAAGATGATATCCAGTATATGGTTGTCTTTAAGAAAAGCAAATTGAGGGCTTTTAACCACCAAATGCGTAGCCTTGGAGTTTGGTCTTTCAACTTGTGTTTCTCATGATTTAATTTGGAATCCAAATAAAGCAGGGAAACAAATGAATGTAATGAAAAGCGGCACTCAATTACTCATAATATTGGGTCTCTCTAAATAAACTGAATAGATGACTAAAGCGGCTCCACAAATTAAACAAAAAGTTAAAACATGCCTTGTCCTGCCATCCTAGATCTATCTGCTTTCAAAATAATTGAAACAAATGCATCTGAGGGGGGACATGGTGGTATACTTAAACAATAAATTAAAAATAAAGAACAATTAGTAAGATTTACTTCCGGAGTTTGGAATAAGGCTCATCATAATTATTCTACTATTAAAAAAAAAATTTCAGCCATAGTAAAAGTTATATTAAATTCCAAAGTGATATCTTAAATCAAAAGTGTTTACTCATAATTGATTATAATTCCGCTAAAGAAGTCTTAGAAAAAGATGTTACAAAATTTGACATCTAAGCAAATATTTGCCAAATGACAAGCTATTTTGTCAATATTTGAGTTTGCTATTGAGTATATTAAAGGAAAAAGTAATTCTCTTCATGACTTCCTAACTTGTAAATTTATGCAAAATGGCGTGGTACAATCCCAAGGGCAAAGCCAAACTGTATGCTGATAGCAAAGCATTAACAACTAATTCTCCTTTGAGCAGCGGAATAAATTTCTTTAAAAAAGTTTATCTTCAACTCATATCCATTGAAGAAAAAGAATTGCAAATTCTTCCCCCAGATCTAGAGAAAAAAATATTTTGGTCCTAATACTCATGTCCCTATAAAAACTCCAAAAGAGGATCATTCATGAACAAGTTTTGATTCAAACAAATAGTGTTCATGTAAACCATCAATACCGAGGAATTCAAGACGATTATGCTTATTCTTGGATAATTTAAAGTGTTGTCTGCAGAAGATTTTAATGATAAACCACCCTATTTCTTTAAAAGATTAGAACATAATGAAGGTTCTAATACTCGATTTAATTATTTCGGTTATATCGAAGCTTTGACTTATGTTTTATGCATACAAAATAAAAGATTACTCGTACTTGGTTGTTATGGTTTACTGATGATTGTATTTAGATAAAATTCCCTAAATGGTTTTTAATTTTGTGGAATCACTTTGGTGCAAGGCATGACATATTACCAGATAGACTTATTAATTATTTTTATTAAAGATGTGGATATGATGAAACGTTGTTACTTCACTTTATAGCTGAAAAGCACATTCCCTGGATAATAAGATGGAGATATATTATAAAAAATGACTATCAACCCGCAACTTTAGCAAGAATTATTG